ATTTTAAAATGTAAACATTGTTTTTTATTGTGTATATGTGTACAATTATTGCACAATATAATTATCTTGACTCCTCTGCAGCAGTTTTACATGGTGTGTATATGAAACTGCTCCATTTAATAACGTACATATGGCCCTTGATAGAATTAAATAGCCTATCTAGGAAACAGAATCTGCGCGCAATCTGCCGGCAGTCTGTCGTCAGAGTCTATCGACAGGCTCTGCGCGCAGTTTGTCACCAATCTGTCGTCAGAAACTGCTAAAACAGTTTCTGTGTGCAGTCTGTTGCCATTCTGTCAACAGACACAGTTGACAGACTCTGCGTAAAATCTGCTCGCACAGGTTTGGCTATCTGGGTTATCTATCTACTTAAGCACTGTGGCGCCTATGGCACGATGTTATCACGTTGTTTTTCAACAATTAAAGCAAGACCAACTTTTACTATTATATATGGATAGATTTGATATTAAACGCTCTACAATTTTTGTTTTTACAAAAACTTAAAAATTTTGCAAAGGTAATGAGTAGAGGGGGGAGTAAAAAATGTAACATTTAAAAAAAATGAAACACGCCGGTGCAAATAGTATTAAATACTGTAAAACTTTTGTAGGAAACATTGTTTCATATACCTCATATCTTAAGAATTATTCCATAAAAATGAAAAATTTAATTTTTCTCAAGGAATTGTTTTAATTCCTAAATCTTGAGATAAGCCGATATTAAAAACTATGGGTCTTTTACTTTTTGATGCTTTACAACATATCCAAAGCGCATCGAAATCGATGAAGGACAGTTCTGTCATGTCCCTTGTTAGAATACGATATTGGAAATTACAGTTCGTAGTGCGAATTATTTATAGTTGGCGCAAGTTTCCTGATATCATTAATTTTGTAGTACAAAATTAGAGGCTTTTTCTTTGATTTTGAGAGATTGACAGCTGTACCATTTGGTACAGTAACAATGTTTCTCTCTAGTCGCCGTGTCCTCGGATAGTGCCGGAGATGTCGTTTCCGAACGGCATCTCTGAGCGTTAACTAGGGAGAAGAGAATATCGTGAGCGTGGAGTGTCAGGCTCAGTGATTTAGAGCAATTGTTCGGAAAGCGAAACTCGGATTCTAGTCCCGGCCTAAGCAAATCGCGCTTTCGATATTTTTCTCTCTCTAAAACGAAAAAATACGCAGGTCCGAAACGGCATCCCACTGCTATCCTTCTTCTTCTTGCGCCCTTCTTCTTCTATGGCAGTGGAGAGCCAGTTTATAGAGAGAAAGAAGGAGAGAGAGAGAGAACAAATTATTTTTTAATATAATTTTTTACGAATTATTTTGTACTATAGTTTCTATGTACGGAGCGCAAAAACTTGGCGTTTTCTTCACCTTTTTTAAAAGGTAAGTTTTTTTTAAATATATATTAAATATATATATATTAAATATATATATATTAAATATATATTTATTATATATATATATATATATTATATAATATATATTAAATATATATATATTAAATATATATATATTATACATATATTTTCACACTAACAATTGATGCAACTTATTGATTACATTTATATTGTTAAGTGGGAAATTATAATTATAAAACAATTACATAATTGTTATTTAGTTTGCTGGGCTGTATCATAATTAGAAATCTCTTCATAAATATTTCGATATAATAAAGAGAAAAGCGAAATTTTTATTGTTTCATCTGGAAAAGAAAATTTACACAGTAAGCACCAAATAACAATAATATTATGTCAATATTTTAATTCTTCATTCAACAATATAACTATTACATATAGATGTGACCGAAACCACGAAGCAACAGGAACGTACGTAGTATTCGCAAACTTCAGTCGCCAATATTTATTTTTTCATCAAAAATTCGTGTTTTTTGACTGTTTCAATATTTACATATAAGTGAAAAATTATAATATTAATGTAATGTTGCTGCAACAAATGATATTTGTTGGATATTTTGTAGTTCTTTTTCTGTTTTTAAGCATTAGTCTATATAAATATTTTAAGAAGTTCTCAAGTATTTCAATCATGGTGCATGTAACTTCCTAAATTATCCTTAGTATCCTTCTATAAATTCTAAAATAATTGCAAATCAGGAAAGGAGAAAATTGCAAGAATACTTTAAGAATTCGTTGTATGTTGCCCGGCGGGTGCGTTGTACTTATGAGTGCGTAACTATGTGCAAAATATGAACAAAATAAGTAAGCAACCCATCCTACTGATTTATATTGATGCAACATCATGTATAATCGCTAAAAGCAATTTAAATCCGTAAATATATGTATTAACTGTTATATATATTTTAATTGTCTTAATAATAAAAAAGGTGGTAAACCTTGCAAGCCAATATGGATCAACGGTACCACGTCCACTAACTGAGTTAATGCGTTGTATAGTTGTTTATAATCCAAATTTGGATACAACGCCATTCGTTCTCCATCGAACTTCTGCGACTTGATCATCTCGAACGGCATTTCGCGTACTTCTTTTAACAGAGCTAAAAAATATTTTTGACAGTTTTTACGAAATCAAAAGTTTTAATTTCATACACCTGTTAATATGTGAATTATCGAAGCTTTAATTTTTTTGAGACAATAACACATACATATACACAGGTATCTGTAATATATGAAAAAAGTAACATTTTTATACTCACATAATAAAGTTTGAGAAAAGTATTTCAATGTATTAGCGATGTCAAGACCAGAAGGCATCGGTTGGCTACCATGAAGTAGTCGCTGATAGTAATCGTGTAAACTAGTCAACTTTAAACTGTCTGCAATACAAAATTTTGTCAACATTAAATTTAAAAAATTATTTATTTATGTATTATTATTGTATCTTATTCCTGTATCCATATCTTATACTATTATGTATCTTATACTTATTCCCATTGTATCTTATAATATTATCTATTATTTTTGTATCTTATTCCTTTTACAACGTAAATATTTCCTTGCATATGACAACACTTTAATACATGCAAAAGCAGTTGAGCTTATGTTATCTTAAGAGGGGAAATCACTATAGAGAGTCACAAAAATCGAATTTTTTTTGCTTTAATTAATAATACTACATGTATAGAATATATTCCCAAAGTTTGATTTTGAAATCCGAAATCTAATGGTCATACAGGACCATTTCTCGTATGCAGGTACGATCACATGAGGCAAAGTCTGAACGCACAGTGACTCGCAACGGCTTTGTTTCGAAAAACTTGTTTGAAAAAACCATTCTAAGAAAGATCTATTAGAAAGGTGCTTAGGTGGGCACACAAAAAATGCGAATAAAAGTTTTAATAGTACGATTTAGCGGTTAGCTCCAAAGCATGTATATTCTGGCCTTAAAATCACCGAAATATAAATATCACAGCCTATATTGCCGCTAGGATATTTAATGAAGATTACTTTGCTGTTTTGAAAATAATGAAAATATTATAATTAAAATTGGACTTTTATGTAGATTATATACTGATAGTAAGGATGCCGAGCGAATAAAGAGACAGGAGCGCCGCAATTTAAGTTACAGTAAAGAGGCTCAAATAGCAAGTAAACAACACCAACTTGAGCAAAATGACTTGTTCGAAGAAGCGGAAGCTTTACTGTATAAAGTAAGAATAACGGATTAGCAGAAAGCAGCTGTAAGTTTACAATTTTCTATACTTGAAACTTTAAACGCGTTTTTCTCGAAACGATTTCTCCCAAACTGATGTATAAGATAATTCAAAAACTATTTGATCAATCGAGTTGCCCTTTTACATTTAGTTATAATTAGGTGTTCCGGTTAGTTTTGAGGGTTCACTGTAGACGGCTAGTTACAAATCTACTGGAAACATTTTGAAAATGAGTGCGTCATATCAAAGTTAGGACATCTCTACAAACAAATTGACACGTGTTCTGTGCATTCGTAAACATAAACACACTGTTTAGTGCGACTAAACATGGAACGTGATGAAAAGCATTTTCGGCATTTATTATTTTACTGCTTTGATTCGAAGAAAACAGCTGCCGAAGCTCACCGATTCGTCTCAGAAACTTACTCTGAGTCTGCTCTATCAGTTAAAATGTGTGAGTATGTAATATCGACGATTTAAAAATGGTAATTTTGATTTGAAAGACAAAGAACGTTCAAGTCAACCAAAAAAGTTCGAAGATGCCGAATTGCAGTTGGATAAAAACTCATTGTTGGATAAAAACTCAGCTCAAACACTTCAAGAATTAGCTACAACATTAAATGTTGGTAAATCAACCGTTTCTGATCGTTTACACGCAATGGGAAAGATTCAAAAAGAAGGCAAATGGGTTCCACACGAATTGTTTAAATTGGCTATTCAGAATCGTTTAACCATTTGCACTTCATTGCTTTCTCGTCACAAAAAGAAGCAATTTTTGTATCAAATTGTAACTGGCGATGAAAAATGGATATATTATGATAATCCTAAGCGTAAAAGATCGTGGGTAAATCCAGGCCAACCGTCGACATCGACTTCAAGACACAATATCCACGGAAGTAAGATTTTGTTATGCATTTGGTGAGACATGAAGGGCATCGTGTATTATGAGCTGCTGAAACCGAATCAAACAGTCACTGCTGAGCTTTATCAACGAAAATTAATCAATTTGAATCGTGCTTTGAATCAGAAACGTCCAATAACAGCTCAAGGAAAACGCAGAGTGATTTTGTTGCACGACAATGCTCGAGCACACGTTGCAAAAGCAGTTAAAGATACATTATCGGAATTTCAATGGAAAGTCTTACCACACGCCGCGTATTCGCCAGACTGTGCTCCTTCAGATTATTACTTATTTCGATCAACGTAGCACGATCTTATTGATCAGCACTTCAAAACATATGACGCAATAAAAAAATGGCTCGATGAATGGATTGCTTCGAAAGACGAACATTTCTTTTATGGCGGAATCCACTTATTGCCAGAAAAGTGGGAAAATGTTGTAGCTAACGGTGGAGAATATTTTGATTAAAATAATTTAATGTCTCTCTAAAATATACGTGTTTCTCTTTTGCACAAAATCTCTCAAAACTAACCGAAATATTTAATATATTTGCTAGTCGATGAATCTATAAAATCCATAACATTATTTATTTAAACAATTTTTTCGCATACATAAAGGATTTTTATAAGTAAAAATTGAATTTTTAATTCAAGGGCTGCTTTTCGTCAATTACAAAATTTCTTTTCAACTTGTTTAGATTTATCGATAAATTATGTCCATGAAGAGCAAAAAATGTTTCCCTATTTTGATTTCAGACAAATACGATAGGAGCCAAAGTGCCGTTTTGTGCCGACTCTGCCGCGAGGTTCAACATTTCTTTCACTACGTATAATTTATAAACATTTCTCTAATATAATTTAAAAGTTTTCTAACATAATTTAAAAATATTTTTTTAATACTTCAATGTACAAGCAAAAACACTACAAAGCTGGAAAGTGATTGGATAAATACATTCTTAAAAAAAAATTCACGAAGCTTCCCTTATTTTTGACGTTCTATAGTGATTTTCTCCCTTAACGCAAATATCAATACATGGTTCGTAAATATTCAATACAAATGAAGCATCGATTTATATACATAGACTGTATCGTTTTATTAGAGATTTGAAGACAAGATTTAAAAGCTATATTCTTCTTCCATTATTCACAGGTCTCTCATCTTTGTCTAAAATTTAACTCCTAGAAAAAGATTAACCCATTGTAGCCCATAGCTAACTCAGCAGAGATATTATCTCTAGATTATCTAGGCAACATATAGAATTTTATAGTATCGTAAAAAGAACAATTTTTCAATAAAAAAAGCTGAAAAATTATTTGTTTATAATAAAGTTGTTTAAACAATTAAGTTGCAAAATGATTTTTCGTAAAATTTGCATTTAATTTTACAGGAAAAATTACGGTAAAACTCCGGATTAAGGAACACCTTAATGACCTTCACATATCTGATAGAAGTCATCCTCCTGAGTAAAATTGGAAGAAATGAAAATATTAGGAACAGTCTCCAATCGCCTTGACCTTGACAATATTGTCAAGGTCATGGCCCTGAACAACATTCAAAAGGTTTTAGTCGTCGGTCGAACACCTTGGGTACCAATGCTAATGGCAACAATATTGTAACTTTAAAGTCTTTTAAGTCGATAGATACTTAATGAAAAAATATTTTATTATAGTGTTTTGGAAAGCTCTCAAGATATGCTATAAGAATAAGTAATGAAAAATGAAGGTTTGCTGCAACATCATAGTAATGTTATAGTCATATTTCACAATGTATTTGCAATGTTGCAATCTTGCAATAAAATATTTCTGCAATGTTCCTGCAATGTTTCTGTGCTATATGGGATACGTTAAAGAAAATTCGCAATATATTCGATATCCGTGATAAATGGTACATTCGTGTGTATGTACATGAATATATCATAATGTACATCTTATGTACCCAAGCAGGAATTTATTACTGGCATCAAAGTGACCCAGTACCGATTTATGGTAAACGTTACTGGCATAACACCAGATGCCAGTACGGGTTTAGTATTGGTGATACTGGGATGATAGAAAAGGGCCACTATCGGAAAATAAGTACTGTCATAGTACCGAAAATCAATACTGTACCAGTATAAAAAAAAGTATTGATTCCTAGCACTGGGCAAGTTACCTGTTCCCAGTACTAGGCCAGTATCGATTCCTAATAATTCTTATTATTTGTACAATTGTTAATATCACAATTAGATAAGTATGGAAAGAAAGATCAGACTATGGCCGAGCTCTGCGCTCTCGTTTGTACCTATACATGTCTATTTTTAATAGTCATATGAAGAAAAAATCTTCGGGGCGACGACTGGAATCAAACTCGAGTCTTCCGCTTGTCAGGCAAGCGTTCTTACCACTGAGCTATCTAGGTTTCGTGTTAGTGACCTCTTCCGTTTTTCCATAAAGGGTATTGGTATCGTCCGTTTTTCGGTACCGGCACAATACTAGCCCTATACTGGTATTAGACCTGTTTGTAAAATCAGATCTAGTACCAATAATACAACTTTTTAATACTAGGTCAGTACCGGAAACGACAAACACTTTTCGGTAACGCTTCAGTACACGTATGGTACGACTATTCAGGTACCTAACTTTAGTACAGAGCCAGTACCAATAATACATTTGTACTGTAACGGGACACCCTGTCCCGCTACGTTTTGTTGCTATTTATGCTACTTCATTCTTCGTTCCGTTTTTCTTCCTTCTATTCTATTATGTATATAATCATCTCGTGTATATAGTTGGTCTTTTTTTGGTGTTATGATGTTACTTACTTAGAAGCTAGTCTTGTTTCCATCATGTTAAATATATCGTTAGACACCGAAGATCCGCGCCTAATATCTCCCCACCCAACCCGCCTACGCGAGTCACGAGGCGCCTCGGCGCGCGTTAACTCGGCGCGGCGCCGCTACGTGGCGCCGGCCGGACACCGCGGCCGCTTCTCGCGGTTAAATATCGCTAGCCGCGCCGATATAACGGGGCCGCTCGGGCGCCAGGACAGAGGTCGTCAACCGGTCTCTTACCCGAGACCGATCATCCAGGACGACACCATCCTGGTGATACACTGTTAACACAGCCGCCACCGCTCCTCTCCTATTAGGACCACACGAGTTGTTTGATTCAGCCGTCGTCCTTATTTTAGCTTTTTCCCTTTCCTGCAAAACACGCGACGACCGAGTTGCCCGATTCAACCGATCGCCGTTCCTAACTCCTGGAGACGCACGCGTTGCCCGATC